TGGGCTGGCTTTGAACCACGATCCTCAGATCTCAGCCTCCTGAGTAGCTAGGATTACAGGAGTGAGCCACCAGCGCCCAACTCTTTGTTTCTTCTTTCTTTCTTTCCTTCCTTCCTTCCTTCCTTCCTTCCTTCCTTTCTTTCTTTTTCTTCACTGGTGCCCTACCACTTGAACCACAGCTCCACTTTTTGGTGGTTAATTGGAGATAAATAGTCTCATGGGTTTTCCTGCCCATGCTGGCTTTGAACTACAGTCCTCAGCTCTCAGCCTCCTGAATATTTAAAGCACAGCCACTGGTTCACACCTGGTTCATACTTTCAGTCTTCACAACTTGGAAGTTCCTTTTGCTGTGTGACCTTGGTCATTGTCTCTGAATCTGTAAAATGAGAAAAATAGTTGGAGGACAAAGTGACATGGTCATAAGCAAATGGCTTTTCATTCTCCTGGCCCATGGCAGATATGGTAAATGCTGGGTTTCTGCTTCCACTGTCCCGAGGAAGCACAGGGTCACCAATCACCAATTTGTTAATGGGGACACTCTTGACCCACAGAGGGAAGTAATTTAACTTAATAACAGACAACATGTGATACTTAGAGGTAGGGGCCAGAGAGCATCTCTTTATGGCTATAAATGCCCTCTTCTGACCCATGTCAGGGGGTGCCTGGAGGGCTGGCAGTTGTTCTAGGGACCCTAACAGCTCCGCCTTCCTCCTTCCTGTCCACAGACACTCTACCATCAGACCCTGGATGCCCTGCAGACACTGCTCATTGCCCTCTTTATTGAAGACCCCACCCCTGCTGGGCTGAAGAGTATCTTGGAGGTGCAGGGAGGGAGGCGGGGAGGGATGGGAGGAAGGGCAGAGGGAAAGGGATGCTGGCTCAGCGCAGTAGGGTGCCAGACTCAGGAATGATTTGACTTCGGGATCCCAAACCAGCATCTGTCTCTTTTTCTCTTACAGGACCTGCTCTGGGCTCCTGTCCCTTTCCTCTCTTTTGCCCTGCCCCCATATAGAGCTTCTCCATGCTGCTACTGCTGTTGTCCCATTATTTTTTTTAATCTTTTCTTGTCTTTGACTTTCTGTCCTCATGACTCTCCCTTACCTTTCATCTTTCCTCAATGACCTCCTCCCTCCCTCCAGTCCCTGAGTCCAATTCTCATCTCTCCTGAGCCTGGACAAGAGGAGGAAGGTTGTGGCAAGTTGCCTTCATGCCCCTTCTAGCAGCTTCCTGCAGATTAGTGAAGCTGGCTTGGCCACCTGGAAGCTAAGGGTTGGCATCCCACTCTTGCTACGTCTCTCCCTTGTCCCTGCAGCCTCTGGGGCCCTGGATGAACTCTGGAAAGGCCCATGAGCGAGCTCGGGCTGTGAACAGCAATGTCTCTGTACTGAACCACACACTTCTGACACTGCCTTTCTTTGTAAGTGTCTCTGGGAAGGATGGACGCCCGGGAAGGGGGCGGGGGTGTCTTCCCAGGTCTGAGGGTCAGGGTCAGATGTTAGGGGAGCCCACTAGCTCTGTTCCCTTTGGACACTGTCTCCCTGGGATTGACACACACAGATGTCCTCGGGCTTCCCCGCTCTGGGTCTGCTACTGGGGAGGCTCCTTCTCCGCATTGGGGACCCTGACGAGGAGATTGGCCGGGAGGCGCTGGATGGCATCACCATCCTCTACACTATTCTGGAGCTCCAGAAACGTAAGCCCTGCCAGCTGTGCGGCTGGGGGTGGGGTGGGGAGGGTGGGCGAGGTGGTCAGAAGGCATCACAGGCCAGGTGAGGACCAGGAACTGGTAGGAAGTCTTTGTCCCTACCGAAGCAGAGCTGCAAATAGACCTATTCACGTGGCCACAGTCTTTGTATTTGAACTTTCCCTCATCCCTCCAAACCTTCATCTATGACTGTCAAATTAATATGCCCACAACTTCATGCTTTGTTCCCTTGCCAATCTTCCCTACGAAGAGAAGGCAGGATTGTCTCAGTCACCACTGAGTTCCCAGTGTCTAGCACTGGGTGTGACCCTCGGGGGCACTTAGTGAATATCTATGAAAGAAACAAAGAAAACAGGTCTGATATTAGAATCCATGGCTCAAGCCCTCAGGTCAGAGAAATGTCTTGAGATCTGGTTTCAGGGAGCCACTGACAACAGTGTGCTGAGACAGGCACCCGAAAGGATACAATATTGGCTCTCTTCTTTCTCTGTATCCCAACTCTGCCAACAACCTTGTTCACTCTCCCCTGGCACCAGTGGCAGAGTGGCTTGGCTACAAGACCAGGCCTTGACCTAGCCCCACTGTGTAAGCTCAGCAAACACTTTGCCTCATGTAGATTTCCTCATCTGTTAAAAAAAAAAAAAGGAGAGGGGTCACTAGGATATAATCCACAAAGTTTTGAAATATTAAATGAGATGGGTTCTTCTTTTCAGTTCATGTCAGTCATGTCAGAGTATTTATCTTTCCCATCCCTCTAACCTTCTGAAGTCTGTCTGGTCCCCCTGCTTTTCTTGATCTCCAGTATCTGGGACAAAGATTAGATTTCTCCCACTGACCAGAAGCTATTCATGCTCCCCAAATGACAAGTGAAGGCTTAGTCACATTAATGATCAGCCCTAGGTCCAGGAATAGGATTGGCTAAATTAAGGTTGCCAGATTTAGCTAAAAATATAGGACGCCCAGCTACATTTGAATTTCAGATAAACAATTTCAGTGCATTGTCTCATATATATATATATATATATATATATGAATATATATTTACCTGAATTTCAATTGTAACTGGTGTACTATGTTCTGTTTGGGAGCCCTAGGCCAAATTCTCACTGCTAGGCTCTTGAACAGTTGGGTTGTCCAACCACATATGTGGAGACAGCAGCAAAGCAAGGACTTGGGGCTGGGTCTGCCTGATTGCAGAGCCTGGACCCTTCCTTTACCAACAGTAGAGATGGTCTGGGTCATCGTTCATCTTCAGGGGTTCTTTTTTTTTTTTTTGCCAGTTCTGGGGCTTGAACTCAGGTCCTGAGCACTGTCCCTGAGCTTCTTTTGTTCAAGGCTAGCACTCTCTTACTGAAGCCATAGCACCACTTCTGGCTTTTTCTATTTATGTGGTACTGAGGAATTGAACCCAGAGCTTCATGTATGCTAGGCAAGCACTCTACCACTGAGCCACCTTCCCAGCCCTCAGGGGTTCTTTCTTGTATCCATGTCTTACATGCCTTTGATAGGGATCCAGGCCTGATCACAGTAAGGGATCTGGGACTGTGCCTAAAACATGTTTATTTCAACAGAAAATATGGAGCCATTTTGCCAGGTACTATTTTAGGCTCTGGGGACTCAACAGTGGAAAAGAGATTCATTGAATAATCCTTCCTCAGTGTGTTTAACTTCTTGTTGCTAGGAAACAGACAATGGCCAAAAATAATGATATAGTAGAGTCCGGTGATGATAAAAAAAAACAAAACCAAAAACCTAAGTGGATAAAAAAGCAGGTTTGGATTGCCCACAGGGTTAGGGAGGTTACAATTTTTTGGGGGGGGGATCCAGTCATAGGGCCTGAACTCTGGGCCTGGGCGCTGTCCCTCAGCTCTTCAGCTCAAGGCTAGCGCTCTACCACTTGAGCCACAGTGCCACTTCTGTTTTTTTTTCTTTTCGCTTATGTGGTGCTGAGGAATTGAACCCAGGGCAAGCGCTCTACCACTGAGCTACTTTCCTGGTCCCACAATTTTTTTTTTTTTTCAGTCGTGCGGCTTGAACTCTGGGCCTGAATGCTGTCCCTGAGCTCTTCAGCTCAAGTCTAATGCTCTACCACTTGGGCCACAGCACCGCTTCCGGTTTTCTGGTGGTTAATTAGAGATAAGAGTCTCATAGATGTTCCTGCCCAGGCTGACTTTGAACCATGATTCTCAGATCTCAGCTTTCTGAGTAGCTAGGATTACAGGCATGTACCACTGGCACCCGGTTGGACGTTATAATTTTTTAAAGTATTGTCCCCGCCTGGCGCCAGTGGCTCACACGATGAGACTTTAAAAAAAAAATTTTATTGTCAAGGAGATGTGCAGAGGGCTCACAGTTACATAAGAAAGATAGTGATTACATTTCTTGTCTAACTTGTTACCCCTTCCCTCATTTTTCCCCCTCTTTCCCTCCCCCTCACTCCCCTCTAAGACTTTTTTTTAGTTGTGGGGCTTGAACTCTGAGCTTGGGCACTGTCCTTCAGCTCTTTAGCTCAAGGCGAGTGCTCTACTGCTTGAGCTACAGCACCATTTCCGGCTTTCTAGTGATTTTTTGGAGATAAGAGTCTCAGACTTTCCTGCCTGGGCGGGCTTTGAACTGCAATCCTCAGATCTCAGCCTCTGAGTAGCTAGGATTACAGGCGTGAGACACCAGCGCCTGGCATCCCAAGACTATTATCTCCAATAAACTACTCAGAAAATAACTAGAAGTGGCACTGTGGTTCAAATGGTAGAGTGTTAGCCTTGAGCACAAAGAGGCTCAGGGACAACATCCAAGCCCTGAATTCAAGCCCCAGGACAGGCAAAAAAAAAAAAGTATTGTTAGGTGTAATCGCACAGGCCTAAAATTCTAGCACTCAGGAAGCAGATGCTGATGATTACAAATTTTAGCCTTTAATAATGAGACTTTAGTAATGAGACTTTGTCTGAATAAACAAAAACCAAACCAAACCAAACCAAAAAAGCCAATTATTGCTCTTGAAATGGAATTCGGTAGTAGACCACTTGCCTAGCATGTGATAGGCTCTGGGTACCATCCCTAGCACTGCGAGAGAAAAAAATAAGTATAAAAATTTGCCTCCAGAATGACAAAATGAAATAGCTAAACCATATACTGGTGAGTCCTAGAACAACAGAAACTCTCATACACTGCTGCTAGAGAGAACAAGTTTGGTACCCTACCCCTACTCCAGGTAGAAAATAGCCCAACAGTATCTGTGAGGGGTGTGTGTTTGTGTGTGTGTGTGTCCAGGGTTGGGGGGGGAGGGTTAATGGGCTTTGAACTCAGGGCCCTGTGCTCTACCACTTGAGCCATGCTTCCAGTGTTCATCAATATCTCTGGAAGTTGAATCTACACTTAACCTGTGACTAAGCCATTCCAGGCCTGGATTAGTAGATAGATTGATACATTCACCAGCAGACATGTGGAGAATGTGCAGAGCTGGGACCAGCCCAGATGAGCATCCAAAGTAGACAGGTGTGTACACAGGTGTGCTTATACCATGGGAATGTCATGAGTACCACCTTGAACACTTCACAATCCTCCTCCCTTCCCTGCTCCCCACCAAGAACTCAGCTGACTGGAAAGGGATTCAGTGGGGAAAGGGCCAGATGAGGGACTGGCTCATTTCCAGAAGGATAGCACTGAGAGTAAACAGCAGAACTTGTGTTATATGCTGCAGGATTCGTGAATCCCACCTATGAGTGAAAAGAACCCAACTTGGAGGATGGCATGATAGAGTCCATTTATACAAAGTTCAAAAGTGAGGGACTCTGCCTAGGGCTTGGAGATCCCGAATAGTTGTTGCTTCCCATTGGGGAAGGAACAGGAGATCAGTATCTGGATGCTGGGGAAGGGGTACTCTACTACTTGAGTCACAGCTCCACTTCCAGGCTAATTAGAGATAAGAGTTTCATGGATTTTCTTGCCCAGGCTGGCCTCAAACCTTGATCCTAAGATTTCAGCCACCTGAGTAGCTAGGACTGCAGGCATGAGCTGCCAGTGCCTGGCTGCAATGTTGGGTTTGAGTACTTCTGAATCTGTGTTTAATGAAAGCATCTGGTCTGGCCACACCAAACAGCTCTTTTTTGCAGGATCCAGAGACAAGGAAGATACCAACAAGATGGAACTGTATGAGAGCAACAAGCGCTTTCTAGGGCCCTACAACCCTGTCAGCCCGTGCCAGAACATTCTCCGTGTCATTGCGGTGACTGACAACGCCCACCAGCCCTGTGCCCTTCTCCCCTCCCCTGTGCCCTAGCTTGTGGCCCATGACTTCTCCCCATGCATTTCTGGGTTCAGGGACCATGTTGCCCCTGCCGTTTTCTTTTTTCGAGATGGAAGCTCACTACGTTGCCCAGGCTGGTCTCAAACTCCTGGGCTCAAGTGATCCTCTTGCCTCAGCCTCCTGAGAAGCTATGGCTATCGGCATAGCCTGCATCAGGCGCTGTTTCTTTTTCTGAATCACCGACCCCCTCCCCCGCCCCTAGACTCTAACCTTCACTGATTGGCAGAATGTGTGGCTTACCACATGTCAGTCATGAGCTATTCAGGTATTGGTGCCTCTATTTGAGGGTCCAGGTCTGCTCATCAGTGTCAGGACCCCTTGTGCCTTTGTTTCAGGAGTTTGGAGACTTCCTGGGGCCCCAGCAGGTCAAGGACCTGCTGCTGACTGCCCTGGAAGGGCTGAAGGGCGGCTCAGAGACTCGGGGGAAAGAGTCTGGGGAGATGATGCAGCTGGCGTCGGAAGTCACGCTGAGCTCAGTGCTGGAGTGGTACCGCCACAGAGTGTTAGAGGTGGTAAGGCCTCCAAGGGCCTGGGGACTCCCTCCTCCTGGGGACTTGCTCATCGCTTGAGCTGAGTGGCATGGAGGGTACAAGACACTTAGAACGGGGGGGGGGAACACATGAAGGGCATTGGCTCACCCCAGGGGAGCAGCAGTCCCCTCGGTGCCCCTCCCTTTCTCTTGTACTATGTTCCCATCTCCTCTCTCATCCTTCCTGTCTCTCTGTCTTGTATCATCCCCCTTCTTTTAAACAATTTTTAATTGTTATTATAAAGGTGATGTACAGAAAGGTTACTGTTATATAATGTCCCCCTTTCTTTCTCTCAACTTCCTGCTCTCCCATGCCTCTCTTGTTTCTACAGTGGGTCTCTCTTCTGTCTCTCCTGCTGCCTCCAGATCCCAGAAATCATGCAGGGCATCTATACCCAGCTGAGTTACATTCAGGAGCCACGGGCCCGTGAGGTGGCCCTGCTGCCTGTGTCCCTCCTGGCCAGCTCCTTCATGACAGAGGTTGTGGTGGCGCTGCTCATGTGTCCCCTCCCACTGGACAGGTATGAAGTGAGTGGGTTTCCCAGCTTCTATATCTCAGAGGGCTGAAGTAGACCCAGCCCAGGATGGACCCTCTCCCCCGTTCGGCCCAGAGAAGCCCCTTGCTCTTCCATGATCCTTTTGCTGTCATGAGTGGTAATTTAGACACCTATCAAGCACTTCCAGAGTAGTGCTGGGGCAGTGCTGAGCAACAGCATAGTCTCTAGTTCCCTTAACAGCTCCAGTATATGGTTGAGGAAACAGAGACTCGGGGGACGTTGCTTGTCCTCTGCCCAAACCGGAGTTTACATCCTCCTTCTGTAAGGGGGATGACTCCAAGTCCAGAGTTCTTTTAATGATTGCATAAAGACAAAGCCTGAGTGTTGGCTGGTGGTCTTGGGTTGACCACTTGCCCTCTACAGACCTCAGAAGTTGGGCGGTGTGCTGAAGTACATCACCAGCTGTGTGGAGTGCTTTTGGTGGCTGTGGAAGCTCCAGACTGGGTAGGCAGAGGAGACTGTGTTCAGGTGATTGGTGAGCCTCAGCCTCCCAGCCCACCCCTTCTTTGAACAATTAAAACAAATCAATGAGGGCTGGAGGCATGGTTCCAGCGGTAGGACATCTGTGTAGCAAGCATAAAACCCTGAGTTCAGGGCTGGGAAGGTAGCTCAGTAGTAGAGCGCTTGCCTTGCATGCCTGAGGCCCTGGGTTCGATTCCTCAGCACCACATAAGCAAAAAGAAAAAGCCGGAAGTGGTACTATGGCTCAAGTGGTAGAGCTCTAGCCTTGAGCTGAAGAGCTGAGGGACAGTGCCCAGACCCAGAGTTCAGGCCCCATGACTGGACCAAAAAAAACAAAAAAACAACCCCCCCAAAAAAACCCTGAGTTCAAAATCCAGTATCTCATAAACGTTTACACCTATGTAGCCAACTGTCCAGTCAAGCTCGGCTTTTTTACGATTCCAAAAAAGTCATTGGTATGATTTCTGTTACTATGGATTGTCTTGTTTGTCTCAAATTTAAAAAGTAATATAATTTGCTTTGTAAAAAAAAAAAAATTAGCCAGGCACCAGTGGCTCACGCCTGTAATCCTAGCTACTCGGAGACTGAGATCTGAGGATCACAGTTCAGAGCCAACTGGGGCAGGAAAATCCGTGAGACTCTTATCTCCAACTAACCACCAGAAAACCGGAAGTGGTGCTGTGGCTCAAGTGGTAGAGTGCTTGCCCTGAGCCCTAGGGCTGAGGGACAGCGCCCAGGCCCAGAGTTCAAGCCCCACGACTGAAAAAATAAAATTAAAAATTAAACAAGCCCAGTATCACAAATAAAGGAAGAAAGAGAGAGTGAGTGAGTGGGAGAGACAGAGAAAGGAGAGGAAGAAAGAGAGAAAGAGGAACAAGCAGATTGCTGGTGACTTATGCCTGTAATTTTAGCTACTGACTGAAATCTTAGGATCAAGGTTCAAAATCAGGTCAAGAAAGTCTGTGTGACTCTTATCTCCACCTAACCACCAAAATGTTGGATATGGAGCTGTGGCTCAGTGGTAAAGTGCTAGCTAGCCTTGAGTAGGAAAGCTAAGAGTCAGTGTTCAGGCCCTGAATTCAATCTCCCATAGCAGTGTAGGCGTGCACGCACACACATACACACACATTAGTGTGTGCATACATATATAGGCAGTAGCTGATCTACATCTTAGAATGGATGCTTTTGAGTAAATGTGAAAATGTCATTCAGAGGATAGGGGTGGTCATCAAAGGACATGGGGAGGGCCCATCCATACCCACCCTACCCCCTCCCTGGGAGAGTTTGGCCTTTTCAGTGTGCACTGTCCATTGGAGGTTCTTTTTGGGTCCATTAAACAGACTCATAAGACCCCCATAGCCACCATCAACATCAAAAGACAGGGCAGGGGCTGGGAAGGTGGCTCAGTGGTAGAGTGCTTGTCTTGTATGCATGAGGTCCTGGGTTCAATCCTTCAGCACCACATAAGCAGAAAAAGCCAGAAGTGGCACTGTGGCTCAAGTGGTAGAGCTGAAGAGCTGAGGGACAGTGCCTAGGCCCAGAGTTCAGGCCCCATGACCAACCAAAAAAGAAAAAAAAGACAGGGCAGAGGGCATCTCACTAGTGCCAGCCTTCAGCTTGCACTTGTGCGAACTTGAAAGTGAGGGCCCCTTACTCTTTGCACCCAGGATACCTCATTCTTCTCACCCTGGCCTCAAGTGTGGCCTGGGAGCTGACCTTTGAGCTCCCCAAATAAAGCTCAGGTGTGAGGGAAGGAAATCTGTGGTCCCCATTGGTTCTTACAGTTAACTGATAGTTCCTCCCAGTCCAGATGCAATGTACTAACGGGTCATTAAGATGGCCAGTTTTACCATAAGCAATGTTGCCTAGCAACATAGTTGACATACTATCTTTAACAGGTTTCCAGGGGAACGGAGCAAGAAAGTGTATGGAAAGTTCAGATGCTAATGCAGACAGGCAAAAGGTTTGGTTAACCCTTTAGCATCTTGTCAATTCCCCTTGGTAGGGACGCAGAAGTGCCTGCAGGCTAGATGGAATGTGCCTCTTGCTGCTGACCTTTCTTGCCTTGGGAACTATGCATCAAGGAATTGGAGTGGGGTGGTATTCTCCAGGATTATGCATAGGGTCAGATCTGGCCTCAAAGGGCTCACTGCCTCAGTGCCCACTCCTTGGCATGGAGGAACAAGATAGGCATTTGAGATGTCATACCCTGTCTCTGCAGCCCTTTAAATCGAATAGTGTGTGTGTGTGTGTGTGTGTGTGTGTGTGTGTGTGTGTGTGTGTGTGTATGTGTGTGTATGCTGATACTGGGGCTTAAATTCAGGGCCTTGACTGTCTCTTAGTTTTTTTTTTTGTCTCAAGCTAGCACTCTACCACTTGAGCCATAGCTCCACTTCCAGGTTTTTAGTGGTTAAGTAGAGATAAGAGTCTCTCAGATTTGTCTGCCTGGACTGGCTTCAAACTAGCATTTTCAAACCTCTGCCTCCTGAGTAGCTAGGATTATAGGAGTGAGCCCCCTGCAGTTTCACTGCTCCGAGCTGCCACACTCCATCTTTAAAATGGGAGTAACACCACCCACTTAGGGAGTTTCCTGAGACTTCAGAGACCTTGAATGTCTGGAATTTTTCTTCAGTCTTGAGCCCCAGAGATTTGCCTAGACCTGGTAACCAGGGCATGTTCTGTATTTGCTGAATTAATAAATTGTGTGTAAATAAAGCACCAAACCCATGACTTGGGGAAATCATGTTTTTAATCAGGGTTATCCTCCTGACCCATCGGGAATGTTTTCTGGACTATTTCTTGTTGGCCTGCCCATGGATGCCATTTCATTGGCATCTTACCTCCCCTGTCCCCAGCCTCGAAGCTACTTGACAATACCTGAGTACCCCTGACCATACTCTCCGTATCCTCAGCAATGGAGCAGAGATGTGGAGGCAGTTAATACTACGCAAGCCCAGCTGTGATGTCCGGGACCTGCTGGATCTGCTCCTGACCAGCCTGAAGGAGAAGCCTGTCACCAAGAAGGGCAGGGCCTCCATTGTGCCCCTGGCGGTGAGGACTGGGTCCAGAAGCCCTCCTCTTGCTGGGCCCAGCTGCTTCCAGGGCCCCATCTGCCTCCACTAGAGGGTTGGGCATGGAACCCAGACTTTTCCAGGCTGGGTCAGAAAAAAAAAAAAAAAAAGCATAGGTCCAGGCCCAGCCTCTCAGAGCAGAAGGTCAGGCCTCAGCCAGCGGGCTGGGAAGATGGATGGATCAGGTCACACCACCTCCTCCCCTCCTCCCCTAGGCAGCCAGCGGCCTGTGTGAGCTCCTGTCTGTCAACAGCTGTGTGGGCCGTGTGAGGCGCATCTACCCCCAGCTGCTCCTGGCCCTGCTCATTCAAGTCCACTACCACATTGGCCTCAACCTGCCTGGCCGCATCCCCCCTCCTAGCAAGGACATGGAGAATGATGCACAGAATCTCCCATTTGTACCTGTTCGGTATGTTCTGGCTGTGGGGCAGGCTTCACAGCCAGGGCTCCTCCAAAGCCTTTAGGGCAATAAAGCCACATACATTAGTTCTGGTACTGGAGGAGAAAACAGAAGCATACTTTAATATTATTAAAGTTACCTTAGTGACTGCTCAACAACTGCTTTGGACATTTATTTCGTGTATCCACCCACTAGACTTAGTACAGAAGGAATCAGCTTTCCTCAGGAGTTCAGGCCTCCATTTTCTTCCTCCCTCCCAGAAGTATTATTTGCATCAGTTTTATTTGTTCTAGTCCCTATCAGTTTATCTTATTTATTTATGTGTGTGTGCGTGCATGCGCACATGTGTGTGCAAGTATGTGTGCACACATTGCTACTGGGACTTGAATCAAAGCCTTGCACTCTTGCTTGGATCTTCATATATTAAATATATATATATGTATATATATATATATGTATATATATGTATATATATATGCCAGCCAGGCACTGGTGGCTCCTGCCTGTAATCCTAGCTACTCAGGAGGTTGAAATAGGGAGGTAACAGTTCAAAGCCAGCCTGGAAGGAAAATCTGTGAGACTCTTATCTCCAATTAACCACCAGAAAACCAGAAGTGGCTCTGTGGCTCAAACTGGTAGAGTGATAGCCTTGAGCAAAAAAACTCGGGGACAGTGCCCAGGCCCCAAGTTCAAGCCCCATGACCAAAAAAGAAAGAGAAAGAAAGAAAAGAGAGAGAGAGAGAGACAGAGAAAGAGAGAGAGGGAGAGAATGGAAGGAAGGAAAGAAAAGAATAGAAAAGTTTGTAGTTATATGCGTTTGGCACTTAACCTGCAATTATTTTATGATCTTTTTTCATTCAGAAATTTATTATTATTTACACAGCCACACTGATCAATTCTTTCTTCTATGGTTCCTGCTGTGCGTTAGGCTTAGCAGGTACTAGAGAATTGGGAATGCAGCTGTGCAGCTGGACTTGGGGTCAGAAGGTCTGAGATGCAGATGAACACCTAGTGCTTTGTTCTTTGGGTAAACCAATTTAACCTCTTGTGGCTGGCTCCCTTATCTGTGAAATGGTGTGGGATTCCTGCCCTTTCAGGTATGTGGTAAGGACCAAACCAGATCATATCCAGCATGAGCCACACACCTGCCATCTGCTTGCTCTCCATTCTGATTCCCCTTACACGAATTGGAGCTGCTTCAAGGGCATCACCCTTGCCTCAGATTGCTTATGCTTTTGAGGAAACTGAGCAGGAGGAGAGGCAGGAGGTTCAGGAGCATCTGTATCAGCATTGAAAGGACCACAAAGAAGAAGCTTTTCTGCTTCTGAGTGATGAAGGACATGGCCTCCAACGAGGAGGACTTGGCCTACAGGACAGTGTGTGTGTGTGACTATTACACATAGATGACTGTTATATCCATGAGCTCATTGGAGCTTAATGAGCTCCTGAGGTTTTTACCCAGCCTGCTCAGTTCCCAGGGGGGGTGAGCTCCTCCAGGGACCTCTGCTATGTGTCTAGGTAGGGATTACTCCTAAAGTGTCTTGAGGCAAGAAAGGACCCCTGGGCAGGAGACTGAGTGGCTAAGTGAGCAGAGAGGACTGTCTGCAAGCCATCAGCCCAGCCATGGCTTGATGGGCAGTGTGTGTGTGGGGGGGCTGGACAAGGAGGACCAGGAAGGCTGGAGAGGCTTGTTGTGGCCTCCTCCCCAGTGAGTGAGGCTCAGGAGAAAAGGGATGGTCCAAGCTATCTTTCCAGGGAGGGGGGTGTTGCTTCTGTTTCCTCTCTTATTCAGAAAGTTAAATATTTGTAATTTTCCACATTTGTGGGCCCAATGCACTCCTCTAACAATTAGTGCAGTGGAGAGAAGATTGTGGGAATGGATGGCTGCTGATAGTGGGAGAGGCTGGTGGAGGGAGGCCTGTGGTGAGAGGCCGGTGCAGGGAAGCTTGGCCTGAGAGGGGCAGGTGGACCTAATCCCTCACCCCCTTGTCTTGGCAGCTGGGTGGTGAGGGTGGTGAAGACCCTGCTGCTGAAGATGGGCTGCTCTTACGAGGCCACATTTCTGGAGGACCAAGGGGGCTGGGAGCTCATGGGGCAGGCAGAAAACCACCATCGCGCAGTGTCTCTGCTGGCAAGGTAAGGTGGGGATGGCATGGGGCTGGATGGGCAGAAAGTTCAGATCCTTAGACTGTGGCTCCCTCTTAGACCCTGGCTCCCTCTGTCACTGATTCCCTGTAGCCTACACCCAGAGAGGGTCTATCATGCATCCAAAGTCACTCAGCCAGAGAGTGGAAGAGTGAAAACGGGTCTGCTGGCCTCAACCAGACTTCCTTCCCCAATCACACATAGGGTGCACGCTGCCCAGAGGTCACAGCATCCACATTTACTGAGTACCAACCAAAGAGGTGCTACCTGGATGGTCTCATTGAATAGAGCTGTTACTTCCCTGCCATTACATGTAAGGAAGTTGAGGCTCAGAGAACTGAAGTCAAACAGCAAGGGCTGAGGTCGGGATTTGAATCTAGGCTCTCATTCTGATTATCTGTGCATGATTATACACTAACTCACAAAGAATTGGGAAAAGGTCAGTTGCTAGTGGATCACATCTATAATCCTAATTACCCAGGATTCTGATATCTGAGAACCAAAGTTTGATGTTAGCCTAGGCAAAATCCAAAAATACTCTTATCTCTAACCATGAGAAAGCTGGGACTGGAGGCATGGCTTGAGTGCTAAACACCAGCCATAAGAGATGAACTGAGCCCTGAGTTCAAATCCTAGTACAGAGAGAGAGAGAGAGAGAGGGAAGGAGGAAGGGAGGGAGGGAGGGAGAGGGAGGGAATGGGAGAGGGAGAGGGAGAGGGAGAGGGAGGGAGTGGGAGAGGGAGAGGGAGAGAGGAGTAGGAGGAAGAGGAAGAGGAGGAGGAGGAGGAGGAAGAGGAGGAGGAGGAGGAGGAAGAGGAGGAGGAGGAGGAGGAAGAGGAGGAGGAGGAGGAGGAGGAAGAGGAGGAGAATTCGATATAGATAGTCCTTATAGCATGTAAGATCTGCTGGCCCTGCTCTGAGTTCTGCTTTTGGGGGGAGGGGGTCTAGGATAAGGCTTTGAGAATACTTGCATTTCCTTTTTTCTTATTTTGGTAGTAGTTGGGATTTGAACTCAGTCTTGTGCTTACAAAGTCGACACTCTACAGTTAAGCCACACTTCTAGCCCAAGAATGTGCCTTGTGTATTTCTGACAGTTTCTAACAGTGGTGCTGATGTTGGCTGAGGTGACGTGTGCACCTTGAGCACTGCTGGCTTAGTTGGATGAGCAGAAGGAGAAAGGCAGTGGGCATGGCAGCCCTGCCATTTTCCAGCCCTGTGGCTTTGAGCAGCTCATGCTCACAGCCTTCATTTCCTCATCTGTGCATGGAGCTAATAGCAGCCAGCCTCTGAGGACAATGGTAAGGTCCAAATGGAACAACTAAGGGAAAAGCATCTGGTTACTGCCTGGTATGAGTGAACCTCCCCCCACAACTCCCCTGCCCCTTCCAATCCCTGCCTCCAGCATGGCCCTATGCAGCCCAGCTCTTCATCTGTTCTGTCCTACTGATTTTCCCTGGGTCCTCAGGCAAGTCACTTCTGCACTCTAGTCTCAAGTTTCCCCACCTGTAAAAGGAAATATTTAAACCTTATGGCCTCTGGTTCACACCTATAATCCTAGCTGCTCAGGAGGCTGAGATCTGAGGATTGAGGTTTGAAGCCAGTCCGGTCAGGGAAGTCCATGAGACCCTTTTTTTTGGGGGGAGGGGGGTCCGGTCGTGGGGCCTGAACTCTGGGCCTGGGCGCTGTCCCTCAGCTCTTCAGCTCAAGGCTAGGGCTCTACCACTTGAGCCACAGCGCCACTTCTGGCTTTTTTCTTATGTGGTGCTGAGGAATCGAACCCAGGGCCTTGAGCATGCAAGGCAAGCGCTCTACCACTGAGCTACCTTCCCAGCCCTCCACGAGACTCTTATCTCCAATGAACCACCAAAAAGTTGAAATAGAGCTGTGGCTCAAATGGTAGAGTGCCAGGTTTGGGTGAAAAAGCTAAGGGATAGAGCCCAGGCTTTGAGTTCAAATCCTATTACTGGCACAAAAAAATAAACCTGATGGCTCTAGGATGTCTTTGAGGTGGGACAGCTGGAACACAGCATCACAGGATCTTGGTGATCCTGACTGTCCCAGCCAGCCCTCACCCAGCAGATCCTCAGGGAGTAGGAGAGCCTGAGGAACTGTTCCCTCACACATACCAGGGCCATGGTGCAGTACTCCTGCCAGGAGTTGTGCCGCATCCTCTACCTACTCATCCCACTCCTGGAGCGCGGCGACGAGAAGCACAAGATCACAGCCACTGCCTTCTTCGTGGAGGTACTGACCAGGCCAGGCGTGGGGGTGTGGTGTCGGGATGTCGGGCTCATCCCAGACTCAGAGCACGCTGGAGGTTGCTCTACAAGCCTTTTTGTCTCCCTTGTCCCTTTCCTCTCTACCTCTGCTCCCCAATCCATTTCCCACAGACTGCCCCAATGTCTCTGTGTAATCTCCAACCATTGCTGGGCAATGGGGATGGCATTGCATGACTAAACTGGGCAGTGAAGGAAGAGCAGAGTTTTGGGAGGGGCTTCAGGCAGGGCTTCTTGCAGGAAGTGACATCTAAAGCAAGGGTTGGTGGGAGGTGCTGGGGCTGAGTCAGGAGGAAGTGGGAGGGACTGGCCCAGAATGGGGGACTGGCACCTCTTTCATAGCTAGTCACTTCTAGAGACACAGAGACTAGTACAAGACTCACTTCAGAGGAGGAAGCCAAGGCACAGCGCACACACGCTCACACACACGCACACACACACACACACACACACACACACACACAGTCTTTCTCCTTTAGCTTACTGTGTTGAGATACACAGTGGGTGCCAGTCTACCATTTTAAGTACCTAGTCCAGTGGCCTTACGTACGTACAGGTCATCGATCCATCAGACCTGCCATGCAGCTTGAGAATTATTTCTATCTTTCCCTGATGGAACATTGCACCCATGGATCGCTATCCCTCCTCCCCTCAGGACTGTGAATGTGGGAAGAAAGGACCATGTCAGGTTTACATTGCAACACCAGGCCCAACCCTGGTATGACAGCAGAATGTGTCATTGCCAGAGAGGGCAAACCTGGTCTTGAGATCTAGAGTCCTGGGTTCCAGCTCTAGCTCTGTCAGGTTATATTTCTGGTACCATTTTGTGTAGGCCTGTGTGCCAAACACTGTGTCTACCTTTTTTTCTGCCCCCCTACTAACCCTGGCAACCATGCAAAGGAAGAATCATGCTACTGATTAGATGAAACTGGGTAGTTTTGGGGGTCACACAGCTCAAGAGTCAAGAGACTCCTGATCTGTCTCACTCAGCCTCAGGAAGAGGCCTCTCTCTGAGGCTGCCCAGGGAAGGCAGTTGACAGCCTGGAAGGGCCCTGTACAAGCACAGATTCCCAGGGCTGAATTTTGGAAGAAGCCATGGGATGTCATGTGGGAATCAGAATGGAGAGTGTGTCCCAGCAGAAGGGATGCAACAGCTAGAGTTTTCCAGCCAACTGTTGGCTTTGATTGCCTGCAATGCCAGGTCCAGAGGCTGAGCACGCTGATTTGCTGGCCCTTGACCTTGAAGTATGTTTACTCCTTTAGCTGCTCCAGATGGAGCAGGCACGCCGGATCCCCGAGGAGTACTCTCTTGGGAGGATGGTGGAAGGCCTGAGTCACCGCGATCCCATCATGAAGGTGCTATCCATCCGAGGCCTGGTCATCCTGGCCCACAGATCTGAGAAGGTAAGTGAGGGCAGAGGGAGTCTAGTCCAGGCTCTGAGCTGGACTAGATCTTGGATCTTGGCTGTCATAGTCTTTTAGATGTTAGCAGCTAGAATCAGACTCTGTGTCTGGCTTTAGTGATCCCATCTATAAAATGGATCTGCTTTCATGATTTGTATGTGTTTTAATATTGTCAACAGTTCCCAATCTAGGTTTGCACCATGACTTTAAAGATCGTATATAGGAGAAAGGGGGTGATAGTTATTATTCCTAGTCATAGATTAGGAAACAGAGGTCCAGCTGCTTTTTCTCCCTTGCACCATTACAGCTTATGATGTAGCCAGGATGAAGGGACAGACCACAAATTCAAAAGCTAATATGGTGTGTGTGTGTGTGTGTGTGTGTGTGTGTGTGTGTTTTGATACTGGGACTTAAACTCAGGGGTGGGTGCTATCTCTTAGCTTTTTTGCTCAAAAGTGGTGCTCTACCACCGGAGCCACAGCTCCACTTATGGCTTTTTAGTAGTTCATTGGTGATGGGTCTCTTGGATTTTCCTGTCTGGGCTGGCTCCTAGCAGCAATCCTCTTATCTCAGACCTCAGCCTCCTATGTAGCTAGGGTTACAGGGGTGCGCCACTGGAAGCTTTATTTTTTTTTTTTTGTCAGTTATGGGGCTTGAACTTGTGGTCTTGGCACTGTTCCAGAGAAATTTTTCTCAAGGCTAGTGCTCTAGCCATAGTGTCATTTCCAGTTTTCTGATTGTTTCTGGTCATTAATTGGAGATTATAGTCTTATAGACTCAACTGCCTGGGTTGGCTTTGAATTTCAATCCTTAGATCTCAGCCTCCTGAGTAGCTAAGCTTACAGGTGTGAGCAACCAGCACCTGGCTTAGAAGCTAACTCTTAATGCTCATGTCATTTATCTAATGCCAAAGTAGGAGACCAACAACAAAGGGTCTCAGGAACTGAGGCCAGGAGGGAGTCAGCAAGGCCCAAGCAAGAGCCTGAGGGAAGATGTCCAGGCAGGAGACAAGGCATAGGCAGGGATCCTGGGCCTGGAGTAGAGCCACCCAGTCCAGCCTGGGTGACTCAGGGGGCCTAGGAAGAACCCTGTTCCACATCCTTCTGCCACCCAGATGGCCAAGGTTCAGGCCCTCCTGCCATCCATGGTGAAGGGCTTGAGGAGTGTGGATGGCATGCTGGTGGTGGACGCAGCCCACAACCTCAAGACCATCTTCAAAGGGCAGGGCTGGAAGCTGACGGACAGCTCTGTCTACGTGGAGATGCTACAGATCCTGCTGCCCCACTTCAGTGATGTAAGAAATCCTGTGGGATAAGGGGTTTAGGGAAGGTGTCTCTTTAGCACCTCTTCTGTCTACCTTGTTGGGTCTTGGAATAGTCACATTAATCTGCCTAGTGGGAAACCTGGATCTAGCTGGTCTACATCTTTTGCAGTTGTTTGTCCAGAGAAGGCTCAATATTCTTACTAGTCCTCCTGGAAGGAGCTCTTCTTTAACAGTTTTTAAAAGATTTTTTGACAGTACTGAACTTGAACTTGAGGCTAGCACTCTACAACCTGAGCCATGCCTCCAGCCTGACTTTTTGCCGGTTATTTTGGAGATAGAATCTCTTGGACTTTTCTGCCCAGGCTGACTTTGAACTACAATCCTCTGGATCTCAGTCTCCGGAGTAGCTAGGATTACAGGCATAAGCCACCGGCACATAGTTGGGGGTTCTTCTTTTATAATTGCATCTCCCCAATGATAGTAAACTATTGCCACTGGTCTGCCTTGAAAGGGAGTGTTTCTTGCCAGGCATTGGTGACTCACGCCTGTAATCCTAGCTACTCTGGAGGCTGAGATCTGAGGATCATGGTTGAAAGCCAGCTCAAACAGAAACATCTGTGAGACTTTTATCTCTACAAAAAGAGCCAGAAGTGGAGTTGTGGCTCAAGTGGTGGAGTGCTAGCCTTGAACAAAAGAAGTTCAGTGACAGTGCCTAGGCACTGAGTTTAAGACCCAGGACAGCCACAAAAATGGAGTGGGTACTTCTTTTTTAAAAGCAGTTTCAGTGAGGGGCCTTTTCTTACCTGACATAAAGACACCCTTTAAGTTAGTGGGAGTCCTGGCTGGGAAGAATGGAGAGCTCCAGACCTAAGGGGAGCACCACCAGTTGACCTTGGCTGACCTCTCTGGGAGAGTGCCTCTGACTGAGGGAAGAGAAGGTCATAGAGCCACCTCCTGGAGGAGGGGCACCCCTAAGCCTCCCATCTGTCCTAGTCAAGAGAGGATGTGCGAATCTCCTGTATCAACCTGTATGGGAAGGTGGTCCAGAAGCTCCGGGAGCCCCGCACCCAAGCCATGGAGGAGCAGCTGATCGGCACCCTGGTGCCCCTACTTCTGGTTATGCAGGATGGCAACCCTAAGGTGGTTCAGGTGAGTGAGCACAGGCACTGGGCCCTCTCCTCCACTCCCAGGCCCTGCTGGTGTACCTCTCTGTGTAGAAACCAGGCCAAGACCACAATCAACCCATCAGAAGTCTGTTATTTTCCTCCAACCAGATGTGTTTCCCAAAGGCATCCATGTTAGTTATTTTCCTTCAGAAGAACTAACTTCATAATTGTACATTTCAGATAGGATTGAGTTTTCAAAGTCCAACTTTTACACATTTTTCTTTTTTTCTGGAACATGTTCTGGCTATCTTGGAATTCCATGACTCTGATATTCTCCTCCTGTCCATTCCCAGAAATGTTTGAAGACCCTGTTCCGTTGCTCCTGCTTCATGGCTTGGGAGTTACCCAAAAGAGCATATAGCCGGAAGTCCTGGGACAACCAGCAGCAGACAGTGGCCAAAATCTGCAAGTACCTTGTGAGTGCTTCCGGAAACAACCATGGCTTCTTCCTTTCATACCAGCACTTTGACTGACTGATTCCACCACCTCCTACAAGCCACTGGCTCCAGAACCTCCATCTTCATCTCTAACACCCCTGACCCTTAGGGATGCTCTCTGCTGGTCACTGGACACCTTGGATGACCCCCACAGCTCTGTTGGACTTCTGCCTTTCCTTTCCAATTCTGTTCTGTCCCTTTAGTTCTCAAAGCAAAAACCTGGGGTCACCTAGGATTTCTTCCTCCTCTCTCCTTCCACATTTGTTCTATGTTATTTATGTTTTTACGTTATTTTATTTTGTGCCAGTATTGGGATTTGAACTCAGGTCCTGGGCATTGTTCTTGAGATTTTGTGCTCAAGGCTAGTGGTCTACTACTTGAGCCACAGCTCCACTTCTAGATTTTTTTTAGGGGGGTGGGGTGCTTAATTGGAGCTGAGTCCCACAGACCTCTTTCCTGACTGGGCTGGCTTTCAAACCTTGATCCTCAGATCTCAGCCTCCTGAGTAGCTAAGATTATAGGTGTGAGCACTGGCACCCAGCTTGGCTTAGGTCTCTTCCAGCTTACCAAGTAGACTCCTTGCCACAAAACATGCTAGAAAAGCTACATTAGAAAAATTATTGTTATTATAATGTGATGTACAGAGGTTACAGTTACCTAAGTCAGATAAAGAGTATACTTCTTTGTTTTACTTTTTCTTTTGGTTGATCATAGGGCTTGAACTCAGGACCTGGGTGCTGTCTCTAAGCTCTTTTACTCAGGGCTAGAGCTTTACTACTTTGAACCACAGCTCCACTTCCAGTTTTCTGGTGCTTAATTGGAGATGGTTTCATGGACTTTCTACCTTGGGCTGGCTTTGAACTGTGATCCTTAGATCTCAGCCTCCTGAGTAACTAGGCTTACAGGCATGAGCCACCAGGGCCCAGCTAAGAGTACATTTCTTTTTGGACAAAGCCACCCCTTCCCTCTTTCTCTCCCAGTTTTTCCCTCCCATTCTCACCCACAAGTTGTATAGTTCATTTTTAACATAGTGTCTAGTGATTACCACTGCTGTATTTATTCACCCGTTGCTCCTCCATTTCTGTGTCCGCCCCCCCATTCCTCTCCCAAAGATAGATAAATAAGATAAAAAGAAGAGAAAACAAAAACAATCAAAAATAAGCCTCATGATTACATTTACTGAAGTTCATTCAATAAATATTATTTTATATGATCAGATACAGGTAGACATTATGCCTTTGTGAGAAACCTACATTATTATTAACTAAGAATTAATAGCTAGTTTAGGTTATTTAAAACACTGCTTGCTGCTAACTGGGAATGTGGCTTAGTGGTAGAGTGCCTGCCTAACATGCATGAAGCCCTGGGTTTGATTCCTTAGTACTGCATACACAGAAAAAGCCAGAAGTGGTACTGTGGCTCAAGTGGTAAAGCACTAGCCTTTAGCACAGAAAGGCTCAGGGACAGAGCCCAGGTCCCAAGTTCAAGCTCCAAAACTGGCAAAAAAAATAAAGAAAGAAAAAGAAAACACTGTTGCTCACTGCACTCAGGCCCCTGTGGCTTGTGGCTGCATTTGTGACCCTCTGTGGTGGATCCTTCTAGATCTCACTTTCTTTTTGGCACTATAAGCTATGGGCAGTTTTGCTCATGTGTAGGTTGACCTCTAGCCCTAGCTTTAAGAAGGGGTTGGTAACTTACTATCAGTGTATTCACTCACTCATTCATTCATTCATTCATTCATTCATGTAGCTATTACTTTTGGGGTCCCAATTCCCAAGTCAGGCCCTGTCCAGGTGTTGAGGACTCTGAACCAAAATACAGGGTGAGCCCACTATACATTATGATAGTGTCACAGGTATTAACATGTTGCAGGGCCATCAAGCATGGCAAATGAGCTCTGCCTGAGGGTGGTGGAAAGCTTTAGGGAGGAGGTGACAGCCAGGCTGAGGCTAGAAGGATAAGAGGTGAAAAAAAAAAGGATAAGAGGTGAGGAAGAGAGGGAAGGACACTCTAAGTAGGAGCAACTGCTTGTCCAGTGCACAGATCATGAATAGCATGCAGGCCATGTCTTTGTTCTAGACCGCATTCTGGAACTTGATCTAGAACTTGGTCTAGAACATGGTCTAAAACAATGGTCTAGAGCATGGCAGTGGAGGCTGGGAATGAAGGATGTGGGACACAGAATATGACCATGAAGCCTTTGCCTACTAGGCCCTAGAGTTCAGACCCGACACTAGTCTTGGCCATGAGGTAGTCACCGGGAGAATGATTGGGTCAGATTTCTCTTCATGTCCCGCTACAGCATCTCAGCTAGATCACTCCTCCCAGCTTCTACTACCAGACCCTCTAACCACCATGACCAGATTATATTACATAAAACCCTGTTACTGGGGGGCTGAAGGTGGCTCAGTGATAGAGCGCTTGCCTTGCATGCCTGAGGCCCTGGGTTCGATTCCTCAGCACCACATAAGCAAAAAGAAAAACCGGAAGTGGCGCTGTGGCTCAACTGGTAGAGCGCTAGCCTTGAGCTGAAGAGCTGAGGGACAGCGCCCAGACCCAGAGTTCAGGCCCCATGACCAGACCCCCCCCCCAACAAAAAGAAAAAGAGAACCCTGTTACTGCCCTGTCATGAACAATTGCTGCCGTCGTACTTCCAACCATGAGGAAACCCCATTCCTGCCTGGCTTTTAAGATTCTCAGTTTATCCCTTGCTGCTTTACAATGTGTGTCCTTCACCCTTGTCCAACCTGTCTCCTTATCTGTCATGTCTCTTGAATGTCATATCTCTGGTGGAATCTGGGGGGAGGGGTGGATTGGAAGGAGACTCCCCAGTGCAGGAACATTATTTATGTCTCTGTTGTAATTAGCTAAGAGAAATGGGACTTGGACTCTTGAGAATCTTTGGCAGTGGGCTGGGCAGCAGAGATGTTCAAGAGCAGGGCACCAGGCTAAGTGGTGGGGTAGGATCACAACTCCTGACTTCAAGGAGGAAAGCTGGACCCTGAGAGCCCAGCACTGTGGGGATTTCTCTTTGTTCCCAGGTGAACACCCACCGAGATAGCGCCTTGACTTTCCTCAACCAGAGCCTGGAGTACACCAAGAACCCACAGGCCTCCCTCCGGAAGTCCTCGGTCATGTTCATAGGTAACTGCTCTGCATAAACCTCTCTTGCTGTCAGGGCTCTGCCCGCTCTCCAGTCGCTCCGGCTGCCACCAGCCCTTTTGGCAGTTGAGCAATGCCTCACTTAAGGTATAAGGCTTGGCCAGCAGTTTGTCTAAGTGGCACATTAGGTGGTCTCATTTTCAAGATCATGACCTAGAACATAGCCATAGGCTGAATTCAGCCTGAAATCTTTGTGCAGGTTCATTGCCTGAGCAACTATACTCAGCTGAGCTGCTGCTGTTCCCTGGAGTAAGAATGTGGCCAAGCCTCATGGGTGTTAGGGCAAACCCCCTACTGACTATAGCAGCAGAAGCCAGGCAGCAGGAGGAAGAGGAGGGTAGAATCTCAGCTCATGATCTCCTCTCTCTCTCTCTCTCTCTCTCTCTCTCTCTCTCATTTATTCCCTCCGAGCATCAGTTTCTTCATCTATAAGATGGGTATCAACTCCCATTTCACAGACTGGATGAGAAAATTTTTTTGAAAGATAAGACCTGTCATGTTGAGATGTTCAGTTAGTTGCCTCCATTCTTTTTGTTGTTGTTGTTGGTCATGGGGCCTGAACTCTGGGCCTGGGCGCTGTCCCCTTGAGCTCTTCAGCTCAAGGCTAGTGCTCTATTACTTGAGCCACAGCACCACTTCCTAAGTGGTATATTGGAGATAAGAGTCTCACTGACTTTCCTGCCTGGGTTGGCTTTGAACCGTGATCCTCAGATCTCAGCCTCCTGAGTAGCTAGGTGTCGTGAGCCACCGGCGCCCTGCTGCCTCCATTGTTTTTATTGTCCACAATCCCAACCTCTGCCTTTCTTGGGAAAAAACAAATAGCAGATCCCTTTGTTCAGAATTCCCCCCAGAATCTCCTTCTGATTGGGTGCCAGGTGGCCTTCCTTCTATAAACCATACTGTACCATACCATACTGTACCATACCATACCATGCTATACCATGCCATACCATACCACTGCTTATCTGCCCTCAAGACCACATTCCCTTAACCAAGGACCAGGAGACCTTGCTACAGAGAGGCTTGGAGCTTATTACCTCTGTATAGTCTTCCCTCAGTTCCTTTGTTCTTTTTCATCCATCCACCCATCTCATCGTACCATCTCACTCATCATCATCCATCCATCCACCATCCATCCACCCATCCATCCATCTGCCTATGCATCCACTCACCAATCTCTCTACTTACATATCTGCCTACTCATCCATCTATCCATCCATCAATCCATCTACCATCCATTTACCCAGTTGCCCACTCATGTATCCATTCATTCATCTATCTATCCATCCATCTACCTATTCATCCACTCATCAATCTATCAATCTATCCACAAACCTGCCTACTTATCTACTCATCCATCTATCCACCAATCAATCTGCTCATCCATTCACAAGCTGCCCACTCATGTATCCATTCATCCATCTATCCATCAATCCATCCATCTTCCAATCCACCCACATACTCACCTACTCATCATCTAACCATCTATCCTTCTACCCACCTGTCCACTCATCCATCTATCTGTACCATCCATTTACCCACCCATTGAACCATCAACCCCATCCATCCACCCATCCATTCACCTACTCAGCCAGTCAGCCATCTGTTGGCTTACACAACAAACACCGATTGATCTCTTTCTCTTTGTCAGGCATAATGCTTAGGTAAGAGAAACCTTCAGAGGGTGGTGCTGATAGGGGTTTGGGAGTGAGAGTTTAGGCAGAGGTGTGATGAGGTGACTAGTCTAATAAATGTTATGCTGCTCAGAAGGCCCCTCTCCTTTCTCTGTCAGTCCTGAGGCTTGAACTCAGGGCTTAGGCACTGTCCCTGAGATTCTTTTGTTCAAGGCTAGCACTCTACCACTTGAGCTATAGCCCACCTCCGGCTTTTTCTGTTTATGTGGTACTGAGGAATTGAACCCAGGGCTTCATGCTTGCTAGGCAAGCACTCTATCACTAAGCCACATTCGGAGCCCCCCTGTCTCTTAAGAAGTGACATCTGTTTCCTAGCTGCCGATTTCTTTAAAGCTTTCTCCAATCAAATAGTGTTTAACATCTCATACCTGGACTTGTGCTGGGGAATTAAGGCTGAGCAGAGCCTAGCTCTGCCCACAACTGTTCTTGATACAGTGCAGAGCTTTCTAGCTTCTATTTGTTTGTTTATTGCCAGTTGTGGGGCTTAAACTCAGGGCCAAGACTGTCCCTGAGCTCTTTTTGCTCAAGGCAAGCACTGTACCATTTTGAGCTACAGTGCCACTTCCAGTTTTTGACTGGTTAATTGGAGATAAGTGTCTCATGGGGACTTCTCTGACTGGGCTGGCTTCGAACTGCAATCCTCAGATCTCAGCCTCTTGAGTAGCTACTAGGCATCTGACTCTAACCTCTTTTAAATCACAGATCTTTTGGGAGACTCTGCTTCAAGGTTATGGATACTTTTCATAGAAAAATGCATATATGAGCTGGACATAGTGGCACATATCTCTAATCTCAGGAAAGTTGAGAGTTCAAGACCAGCCTTGGTTGGCCATTAAAAACATACACACAAGCTGGGCGTCATGCCTGTAATCCTAGCTGCTCAGGAGACTGAAATATGAGAATTGTGGTTCAAAGCAAGCCTGGGCCAGGCGCCGGTGGCTCACGCCTGTAATCCTAACTACTCAGGAGGCTGAGATCTGAGGATCATGGTTCAAAGCCAGCCAGGGCAGGAAACTCCATGAGACTCCATGAGACTCCAATAAACCACTAGAAAACCAGAAGTGGTGCTGTGGCTCAAGCAGTAGAGCACTCGCCTTGAGCTGAAGAGCGTAGGGACAGTGCCCAAGCCCAGAGTTCAAGGCCTATGAATGACAAAAAAAAAAAAAAAAAGCAAGGCTGGGCAGGAAAGTCTTGAGACTCTTATCTCCAATAAATGACCAGAATACCGGAATTGGCTCTGTGGCTCAAGTGGTAGAGCGCTCGCCTTCAGCTGAAGAGCACAGGGACAAGCCCCACAACCAAAAAACAAACAAACCATATACACACACAGATACAAAACACAAAACACAAAAAACATACACACACAAGAGAGTTGAGTCTGTGGCTCAAGCAGTATACAGTGTTTGCACAAGTATGATGCCTGAGTTCAAACCCCAGGGCCACCTAAAAAATGTTTATGCATATAATTCTGTATATAATCTTAGGGACATCAGGGATTCACTTTACCCTCCTCCAACTGAGCTAAGATCTGATCTGGTGGGATTTAAGATTCATAATCATAACTAAGATACCATATGCAGACAGTAAAGATTCACAGACACTCTGGGAACTGAGGCAGTCACCTAACTTAGTCTGGGATAGACTGTACATGCAAGGACCAACAGGACTTTCCAGAACAGAAAGATGGGAGAAAAAGGCATTCTGAGAGGTAAGTAAGTAGTGTGGGCACTGGAGAAGCTGCGAACACTGTGGGAGCCAGGCAGGTGCCCAGGCTGTAGGCAGCATGCAACAGGGCTTGCCATGACTGAGAGATGGTGGGAAGGAGTTCCTGGACCCAGAATATGGAGTCTCAGTGCCTCTGGGGCCCTTGGCAGCCACAACTGACAGGTGCACAAGGTGCTCAGGGTCCTGCATATTGCTGCCATTCACTCATCGTAGAGCAGTGGGCAGTGGACACAGTACCTCCCTGCATTTCAGACAAGCAAGCTAAGGCCCAACTTATGGTAGCACTGTCAGAATCAGTGGTCTAGATCCTGCCCCATCTGGTGCTATCTTTGACTACTGGACTATCTCCCCCAGGACCTCTCTGGGAGTATCCAAGAATGGAGATCCCCTTTGTGTCTTCATTTGTGGGTTTTGGAGTGGACGGGGAGGCTTCTCTGAGGAAGTCTGGGCCTCAGATGGGATGGATGGCATTATGCTGAGGAGCTGGGTGCCCTTACCTTTTGAATGATGCTTCAGGGTCCCTGGTCCCCTGCATGGACAGCATAATGACGGAAGATCGGCTGAATGAAGTGAAAGCCAGTAAGTCATGCCCTGGGCCTGTGAGATTTCTAGGGACAGTGAGACACTGAGCAGCAGGAGGGGCAGGGACACAGCCAAGGCAAGGGTCTTCCCTTCACTATCCAGGATGAGAGCTGTATGGGGCCCCATGGGGTTCCCAAAGAGTAGAACATACAGCCTACCTGAGGGAACATACTATTTCATGAAAAAAATGACCTAAAGATAGGACTAGAAACCACTTAGTGCAGGATATATAGTTTAGACTTCAGAGGGTACAAGCTTATTTTGTAACTGGGAAAGCTGATAAGAGCATATAGGAAGACCAGGGGCAATCCAGGAATGCTTCTTAGAGGAGGCAGGCTTTGATTCACACTTGGAAAGCTGGGAACAGTTCGGAGGGCTGGAGGAAAGTGAGGTGAGCAGATGTTGCACAGGGGGCATCCAAGCCAAGGCCAGGAGGTGGGAAGGAAAGATAAGGGGTGAGACCAGCTTAGAGGCCTCGTCTTAACCAGTAGTCTTTCTTCTCCCTGTGATCCAGCTGTGGAAAACTTGAGGCATGATCCAGAAGCATCAGTATGCATCTATGCAGCCCAGGCCCAGGAACACATCCTGTCCAGCTGCTGGAGGAATTCTTGGCCACTTCCACACGGGGACTCATGGGTGTGTGACCCGGCCACCACGCACCGCTGGAACCCCAGCTGCGAGAACCTGCCCGCTTCCCACCAGCGGCGCTCCTGGATCATGCAGGCCCTGGGCTCCTGGAAGATGTCCTTGAAGCAGTAATGTCACACAGCCACAGCCCCCACCTTCAAGCTGTCCAAGCACAGACATGGACACATAAATGCCACATGGCTTCCCTCTCCATCCCGAGTGCTTCATGGGAGATGTCCTACTGTTATACTAGGACAAATCTGAGAGAGGGGTATGGCCTGTTGGTGACTCAGTTGCAGTATGTCTAATATGGGTAGATGGGGAAGGTGAAGTTCAGAGAGGTGCTTGTCACAAGCCACTCAGTAAGTCCACTGGAGGTCTCAGCTTCCTCTGCCCCCATTATCACAGGAGCTAAAGAAGTGGCGATTTGGGTTTCCCTTGGGGGAAGAAAGAGGAGGAGAATCCTCCATCCCATGATATCATGTCTCAGGGCTTTGAGTCCTAGCCTTAGGTTATGTGCTGTGATGTTTTCTAATTCTAGGAATTTTTATAGAGCTGATTCTACAAATAGTTATAGAGCTTCTAACCTAGGCAGGTACAGGCTCTGGACACTTCATGATCTGAGGCAGAAGGTTCTCACCTAGGGCACTTTTGCCCCTTACGGACTATTTTACAATGTCTGGAGACATTTCTGGTTGTTTTAAGTTGAAAGTGGGTTGGGATCAGCATCTAGTGGGCAGAGGCCCTGGATGCTGCTCAACCCCCTACAATCACAGGACAGTTCCACAAGGAAGTTGTCATATGGCCAAGGTTGAAATTTTGGACTAGTAGAAGTATTGGAGACACGTAAAGATACCAGCAGCAAAGCAGGGAGGCATGGGGCTGGAGGTTCCCTAGGAAGCACCACAGGCCAGCGGGGTGTTGAGATGTCAGCGAAGGTTTCCTAAAAAAGATACTTCCCAAATGGGAGGTGACCATAAGGTGTCACCTGGAGCAGACCAGGTATGTGGGACCAAGGACCAGTATCAGATTCCTATAATGGAGGGAGAGAGGACCAGGCCACTGTGGCCTTCATCTAGAGCGCAGTGAGAAAGCATTGGGAGGTGCTCGGCAGTGGAGAGATTTGAACAGATGTTGGCTTTAGAAAGCTGCCCCTCCGGGGATACAGGAACCCCTAGGCACTGCTGGTGAGATAGTAGACTGTAGCTATTCTGGGCATGAACCTGTCACTACTCAGCTATATTATGTGTATCCATGGCCTGGGAACTGCACTTGTGGGAGTTTCCAAGGTCCATAAAGAGAAATGTATGAGGACTTCCATTGTAACATGCCCTGTGGTGCCAGGAGAAGGGAAGCCTAGACACTCATCCTTGGAGAATGAATGTGCTCCATGGACTCCTATGTGTAGTTAGAGGCAGTGGTAGTACATATAGCACCACAGGCCTACATGATAAAGTATGTCACAATGTATGCACAAAAGAACTTACATTTTGAAAAACAAGATACACGAAAACACTAGAATGATTGGTTAAGAGGGAGAGATGAAGAGAAGAGGTACAAAAGTGGGGAGGAAAGGGAACCCACTACTACTTTGTAGTAGAACAAAAGGGCTGGGTGGGCAGAATGGCCAAGAGCTGGACCCAGACTGCTAAAAGGAAATGGTGGCATGGACCACAGAGGGCACAATGGAAGGGCAGCCAGTCCTATAGGAGACCAGAAAGGGGGATTCTAGAACACAGTGGTTCTCAGAATAGAGGAGGGAGGAGAACAAGGTATTAAGGATGGCATCCATGTTTCTGAGTGAATGATTGAACCAATGGTGACCCCCACATTGAGGAGTGAAGCCAAGACCAGGAGCATGATGGGGATCAGATGAGGACTGAGAGGCAGGAGTCAAGTCCAGTTTGGAAATGATGAGCTTGAAGGATTTGGGGGAACATGGTTGTGTGGCACCCACCAGGTTGATGGCTGCCATTATACACTGAATAAATAGACTCCAGACAGTTTCCTCATCCCTTTTGCATGGGAGAACACAGTGGAAAGATGGCCTCCATAAAGTGGGCCCTCACCAGACACCAAATCTGTCCATGCCTTGATCTTGGACTTTATAGTCCCTAAACTTGTGAGAAGTAAATGCGGCTTATAGGCCAAAAAGTTTTTGGAATTTCGTTTTAGCAGCCTGAATTGATGAACATAGCTGCATGGGAAGGAACTCTGAAGAGGAGTCTTAGAGATGTGGAATACATTTGGGTACCAGAAATGTAGTGGGATTCCCTTGGGAAAGAGCATAGAGGTGATAGATGAGTCGAGAAGCACATATTCAAAGCCTCTGCTGGGGTTGAGGAACTCATTAAATTGATCACACAATCATCCTCCAATTAATGGTAGTCCAAGGCCTTTGGGATTCTGGTACTTTTCTACAAAGAGCAGAAAGCAGGGATGCTTCAATCGCACAGCCCTTTTTACTGCCAAGAATATTCCTGAACATTACCTCGGGTCTAGGCATCCCTGTGAGTTGAGGGAGAACAGGTCAACTTTGCTTCAAAGCCAGAGGAACTCCAGGAGTAGTGAGGGCACACCCTCTAGAAGACCACGCCCCCACGAGACGGCGGAACTCAAGGTGCACCGATCGGCCACACCCCTGGGCTGGCCACGCCCCCGGTAGGCCCGGCATCCAGGCAGACGGAACCCAAGGCGCGTGCCGGCTGTAGCGCGGGGAGGGTTGAGGGAAGGACACCGCTCCGCCGGAAGGAGTTTCCGAGCTCTGCGCATAGTCCCTAGAACCGCAGCTGGAGAACTTCGAACTGCCATGGAGCCCTCGCCGCCAGACGCCGCCGCCGAGGACGACTTTGACTCCTTCCTGGAGAAGTTCCAGAGTCAGCCTTACCGCGGCGGCTTCCACGAGGACCAGTGGGAGGAGGTGGGCCACCGTGGGGACTCCGCACGTGTGTGGGGATATCTGCGCTCTCGTTTTAAAATAGGGAAACTGAGGCACGTGTAGATGATGATTAAGATAAGGACAGCTGGCCATTCAGACCTAACATTGGTGAGATCTGATAATGAGTCATGGCATTGGATCTACTCAGAAAATCCGTTCATGTACTTCATTCTTCTCCAAATTTTATCCAGGAATTCGACAAGATTCCCCTATTTATGAAGAAAGCACCATCGGAAATTGATCCCAAAGAGAATCCTGACTTGGCTTGTCTCCAGTCAATTATACATGATGAGGAGCGATCTCCAGAAGGTATATTACATAACTAGCATTTGATTTGTGTCTCCACTGAGTTGTGGTGAAGTGTGAGAACAGTTCTGACTGATAGCAAGTAGTGAGCTGACCCTAACTTGTCACCAATTCACTCCACAAAGCTCTGCCACTTGAGCCACGCCCCCAGCATCATTCCACACATCCTTTTTTTTCTCCTTCCTCCTCCTCTTCCACCTCCTCCTCCCCCTCCTCTTCCTCCTCTTCTTTTTTTGCCGGCTTGCACTCAGGGCCTGGTCTGTCCCTGAGAGCTTTTGCTGAAGGCTAACTTTGTACCACTTGAGTCACAGCACCACTCCCGACTTTTTCTGAGTAGTTTATTGGTCATAAGAGTCTTATGGACTTTTCTGCCCAGTTTCAAACGCCATACTCAGATCTCCATCTCCTGAGTAGCTAGCTAGGATTACCGGTGTGAGCCACCAGCACCAAGCTCACATGTACTTCTTTAGATAACAGCTGTTTGCACACAGTTCCTGCCCTCCAAGGTCAGGCTCCAGTGAGAAGCCAAATTATCCTAAAGAATCAGGACAAACATGTAATAAGGGCCAACACTTAGGTGTGTTTGTGTATATACACATAATATATATATATATTTGTGTATATATGTATACACATATGTACTTATACACACATATATCTTACTATAGCTATACCAAATGCTGTTGAAATACTGGCTGAGAGTGAACTTACAGTGGATTGGCAATTGAAGCTGAAATGGAACAGTTTCATAGGCTTTTACTATGGCAAGGAAAATTTGCACTCCAGAGCATGAAAATATAAGCAAAATCAGAAGTATAATTTCCTCCTATTTTCTTAGTAATTATAAAACAAAGTTCTTCAAAGCTCGGATGCATATATTCTTTCCTTCATGCTTCTTGTGAGATACTGGAATTGATCATAGCATTGTTTGTTTGATGATGTTTCTCCATATTGATATCCATTTTTTAACATAACTTTGATTTGTGTTTCCTTTTTCTATTGCTTTTTCTCTTCTGTTTATCATATATTAGGTTATTACATGATTTAGAATCTTTTAAAAAGTAGAAATCTTTTTTTGTTGTTGTTGCTGGTTTTTTTGTGGTTTTTTTTTTGGGTCCGGTCGTGGGGCCTGAACTCTGGGCCTGGGTGCTGTCCCTCAGTTTTTCAGCTCAAGGCTAGCGCTCTACCACTTGAGCCACAGTGCCACTTCTGGCTTTTTCTGCTTAGGTGGTGCTGAGGAATCGAACCCAGGGCTTCATGCATGCAAGGCAAGCACTCTACCACTGAGCCACCTTTTCAGCCCTAGAACTCTTTTTAAAAGTAGAAAATGTTTTTCTTCTTTTTTGCAGAACAAGCCAAGACCTATAAAGATGAAGGTAATGACTACTTTAAAGAAAAAGACTATAAGAAAGCTGTGATTTCATACACTGAAGGATTAAAGAAGAAATGTGCAGATCCTGATTTGAATGCTGTCCTTTACACAAACCGGGCTGCAGCTCAGTACTATCTTGGTAATTTATTTCATTAAGTACTTTAAAAAGAATTAACTTAGGATAAAAGGCTATTGTGCTGGCTAGTGGGAGGTTTAAGAATATCAGAGAAAGAGGGGCTGTTCAGAAACCTGGAATAATTGTATTCTGATCTTTCAACTAGACATAGGAAGATGGGAAACAGGTATTGTGTAATTTTAACTGGACCAAAAGAGTGACTTAGTCACTCTGTAAGTTGTTTTAGATTTTTTTTTTTGACAGTTGTTGGGGCCTGAACTCTGGGCCTGGGCAATGTCCCTTAGCTCTTCAGTTCAAGGCTAGCACTCTACCACTTGAGCCACAACACCACTTCCGGCTTTTTTGCTTATGTGGTGCTGAAGAATTGAACCCATGGCCTCATGCATGCAAGGCAAGCACTCTACCACTGAGCCACCTTCCCAGCCCTGTAAGTTTTAAACCAAGATGCTTCTGTAATTG